GGCCTGATTCCAGACTATGTCGGCCCTGATATCCAAGGTCATGGTCCACCCATTTACAACAGCCCGAGTTTGCCTCAAGCTACTGGGGCACATGGCCGCCTGCACATATGTGGTCCAGCATGCAAGTTTGGGCCTCAAGCCCCTGCAGATGTGGCTAGTTTCAGTTTACTCCCCGAACAGACACCACTTGGACTTGGTGGTCACTGTTCCATCCCTGGGTCCTCGCCTCACCATAGTTCAGTAATCATTGGAGTCCCCTTTGTGACCCCCACAGCCGCCAGGGGTCCCTAGTGTCGGATGCATCAGACCTAGGTTGGAGAGCCCGCCTCGACAGCCTGAGGACTCAGGGCCTGTGGTCCCAGGAATAACTTTCCCTGCACATAAACATCACAGAACTCAGGGCGGTTTGCTTAGGCTGCCAAGTCTTCCTTGCTCAGATCTCAGGTAGGTGATGCAAGGTCTGACTGACAACACTGTGGCCATGTTCTGTATCAATGAGCAGGAAGGAGCTCAATCCTCCACCCTGTGTCAGGTGGCCATCCGTCTATGAAACTTCTGCATGAAGCACTCTATCCACTTCAAGCCTTCACATCTTCCGGGAGCCTGGAATACACTTGTGGATGACCTCAGCTGATCCTTTTCCTCTCACCACAAGCGGTCCCTTCATCCGGAGGTCACCAGGATCATCCTCCAAAGGTGGGGGTCTTCCCAGATAGATCTGTTCGTGACCAAGCAGAACAGGAAATGCCATTAGTTTTGCTCACTGTGGGGGCACAGCCCAGGCTCCCTCTCTGAAGCCTTCCTACTTCCATGGGCAGAACTCCTGTTCTATGCATTTCCCCCAGTCCCTCTAGTTCACAAGGTCCTCCTGAAAATCCAGTAGGACAAGGCAAGAGTTATTCTTAACACCCCAATGTGGCCACACCAACAGTAGTTTGGCACACTACTAGATCCATCAATAGCAACCTCGCTTCTGCTCCATCCAGACCTGATGTCACAAGACCACAGCCGGTTACTCCACCCAAACCTTGGCTCCCTTCACCTAACTGAATGGATGTTACATGGCTGAACCCAGAGGAACAGGTCTGTTTTGAAGAAATTCACCAGGTCTTGATGGGTAGTAGGAAGCCGTCCACTAGAGCAAGGGTTCTCACAACAATTTTTTTGGTAGCCTCAGAGTGCAGCCACCAGCTTTTGTTGGTGGCCGCTCTGACAGTTTTTCCTAAAATACGTAATTAACTTTAGGAAAAACACATAAATATACATGTCCAAATCATCGTAATTTACTTATGTAGAGTTTCTTTTTGCAGACTCAATAATAAAAATAATGTGCAGTTGTCTCTTTTTTTTTTACTGGATCTAAACAGAATAGAAACACAAATAAGGTGCTTTGCACATTCTTGTCTTTTTTGTTGTTTCTTTTGCTTTTTTGGTTGCTTTTTTTAAAGACTTGCTAGCTAGTAAGTCTGCTGCTGTGAAAAGTAATATTTGTTAATATCACTTTTCACAACAGACTTACTAGCTAGTTGGGAGGCTATGAAAAATGATATTAACAAACATACAAGTATCAGTTTTCACAACAGAGTTACTCAACCCTGGCAAACCAGAGGACAAATTAAGCCTTGGATGGGGATGTGGGTAGGGAGACAGCGAGGGCCAGGGGCAATGCAGGGATGGTGGTGAGCCAAGGGCCAGCACCCGCTGCCATGTGGCTGGGGTCCAAGGCTGGAGCTCAAAGCCCCTTGACTGAAGCCTGCCGCCCACCACCCCAAGACTGAAGCCCGAAGCTGGAGCCTCATAGCCCTGGGGAAGGTGGGAACTCACTGACTGACTGCTCCTCCAGTGTTTGTGGCTCCACAATGGGTCAGGGTCCAACCCCTGCTGGTGGCCCTGGGAGAAGGTACACTCCTCCCTCCCTCCCCCCCCCCCCCCCAAAAAAAAGTCATTGCTCAGGAGACTCTGGCTGCAAGAAAACCTCCTGGTGGCAGCATTTGAGAAACGCTGCACTAAGGCTACCTACCTGGCCAAGTGGAAACGCTTCTTGATATGCGCATCCCAACAAGAGCTCTCTCCGATTTATCCTCCAGTCTGTCTTGGACTACTTGCTTCATCTAAAAGAACAAGGTCTGGCCCTTGCATCTATCAAGGCGCATTTAGCAGCAATTTCAGCTTTCCACCCACAGTGTTCTCTCATGAGATGACAGTCCATTTTCTTAAGGGACTGGAGAGATTTTCTCCTCAGGTCTGCAAGCCAATCCCCCCATGGGACTTAGAAGGCTCATGTGTCCTCCAAACCGCTGCCATTGGGCCCTCTACTGCTTCTCTCTTGGAAGGTTGCCTTCCTGGTGCTGCTTCTCTCTTGGAAGGTTGCCATCCTGGGTAACCTCCTGCATTGGGGCATGTTATGAAAAGGTGAAGGTCCCACTTCCTGCCATCCTAATCACACGCTCCATGAGTGCTCAGGCCTCTTCAGCAGTGTTCCTTGCACAGGTTCCAATCTGCAGGGCAGCAACTTGGCTGCTGATGCATACCTTTGCATCCCACTATGCCATCACCCAACAAGTTCAAGACAATGCTAGGTTCAGAAGAACGGTGTTGCAATCAGCATGTCCATGAACTCCAAGCCCGCCTCCTGAGGTACTGCTTGTGATTCACCTAACATGGAATGGACATGCTCAACACATCTCAAAAACAACAGTTACAAAAGGTTAGTAACCATGTTAATTTTAAAACTGTTCACTGATCTTCTAAACACAGTAGTTTGACTTGAAAGTTTAGTTCCTTCTTTCTTCTGAAGAGTTTTGTGTTAGGGAGAAAAAGCTAGCTTTCATTCTGGGTTTTCTTTTTGTTCATAGTTTACGTTAGTCAGATGGAGATGCCCATGGATTGCATTGGCAGCCACTTCTGAAAGTCAGTGAAATTGTGATTTTATATGGGTTTGTGTTGAACCGAGAACTTCTCTCATTAGTGTTTCTTATGGGATGCGGGTAAATGCCTATATAATTGAGATTAGTCCCAAATGATGTGATAGCCTTTTTATCACACTGAAAAGTCTTACCAAGGAATGCTTAAAACGTTTGATGAATAATGGTGCATTGCATACAGATGTACTTTTTGTGATTTGTTAGTTGTGTATGGTAAAATGTGTATCACATTTTAATTAAACCGACCCATAAGAGTGTGCTGGCATTCTGTTGATTTTGGGTAAAAGTTTGATATCCGAAAGCTTTAATTTTAATTTGACTTCAACCAAAACATCATAATATTGCTGGTAAACAGATGTGAAGATAAAATGTTTGGTTCAGGTAAACACCTCAAAATTCAGATGTTTAGAAAAGCTGATCCAAAATATCCAAACTTTTTGAAGGCTTTGTCTTCAGTGACCTCTCCCTTCCTCTGACTGATCCCAGGACCCCCTCATTGCCACTGTCTTCTCATATCTTTGATGTTTCAGACCAGGGCCCCTCTTCTGCCAACCCTAGGCAGCACTTCAGAATTTTGCAAGGCAATTCCCCCGCACCAGTCCAGGAAGCCTTTCTAGCAGTGACAGGACACAGGTCCACTTGTGATCTTTCTGGTAAGCAGGGCTACCCAGAGTCATGCATTTGCTCTGCTCCCTGATGCCTTCTCACAGCCTCATTGGAACATCAACTATCCAGTTGTCTTACACACAATTAATAATAATAAGCAGTGGCAGCAAGATTTTCCCTGCAGTGACCATTCTTAGCCATCATTGTCTATTGTGGAACAATGACAGCTAACTGCTTTGCCTCCTTCCATCAGAGAAAGAGCAGGGAGGGAATGAATTAGGAGGGGAACAGAATTAGGCAAAGGGGAGTACAGTTTGGGAGAGCTAATTTCAGGGAAAGGAGCAAAACTATGATTTTCCCACAGGTAAGCATCCTAGTGTGCAGGTCTCCTGGCAGAAACTAGCTCATGTCTCTTGTTCCATGGCAAATGTCTCTTGAAGAATTCATTTTAACTTGGCAGCTATGGCAAAGCCTTACCCCAGAGCAGGTTGGCCTTTGGCTAAACTGGAATTGGGGCTCTTGAGAGATGCTGCCAGATGTGGTGGGTCCCACAATGCCATTGGAAAGGTGTAAAGGGGAGAGAAAAGTGGTCATTGGGTGGGAGTATATCGAATGAAGGGTTTTAGATATGGTAGGAACAAGTATGGACTGTCTTGGGACCTCCCTGATTCCTTCCCTTCACCAGGAGAAGTCAGATGATGAGGGAGAGGGGGTTCTGGTATCCATATGATAAAATAGGTTATGTTAAAGGGATGAGTAAAACTTTGGATCTGTGCTTATGTTATTAACTGAATCCATTTGTACAAACTTGGTGTTTATTTCTCATCCCTATAGCATTTCTTTAGATCTTTAAATACTTTCCATATCTCACTTTAAATGGTTAATAGAATTTCAATGCCAAATTGTGCAGTGATTATATGAAATATTTCTAAAAAAAAGTTAAACAGAAAGTCACAGATAAAAACCAAGTAAAGTGTTCTCAATTTTTGGCATTATTTCTGTCAGAAAAACTAACTCACCGTGATTTAGTATTGCCAAGATTGCTCCTATAAAGTTGGAAATGATAGATGTACAGTATGCTGAAAATGGCTTGAGCTGATTTTTCTCCCAAAATATTTGTGTAATGCTTCTAATGAAAGATACTAAGGATGATAGCGTTCACTTTCATTATTCAGGATTGTAGGGAAGGAGTTTCAAAAGGGCTCAGTGTTAGCCTCACTGCTCTCCCTTTGAAGTCAGTGCAAAGCTCCCATTGATTTCAGTGATAGCAGAGTTAAGTCAGTGCTGAGTGCTTTACAGTGAAGTCCCCTTTATGCTGTTTTGCCAAAATAAAGGGGCCTTAGTGCAAATGAGAATCGGGTCCTCAGAGTTTAGATGATCTGTGAGTGTAATAGTTGCAGTATGGACTGAATAAAAGACTGGGTTTACACATTTATGTGTACATGTGTCTTTTTTCCCTTGTGCATTTAGACAGAAACTCCAAGAAGAGCATACAGACTGGAAGTTTGGAGAGACATGGCTGTTTTTCGGGTGCCGACATCAGGACAGAGACTACTTATTCAGGCAGGTTCTGTAGGTAGTATTGGAGCTCTGTGTTGCACCTTGTATTTATGCTTGGGATACTGATTTCTAATGTTTTGCATTGTCTTTCAGAGATGAGCTCAGAAGTTTTGTTGAAAATAGCACATTAACTCATCTTAAGGTTTGTTTCTCAAGAGACCCTCCAGCTGCAGCAGAAAAAAACCCAACTAAATATGTGCAAGACAACATTCGACTTTGTGCTAAAGAGGTTGCCAGAGTCCTGCTGAAGGAGAGAGGTTGTTTCTATGTATGTGGGTGAGTAGACTGGAGTTTGAATGCCTAACAAAGGGAGCATTTGATAGAAATTGTTGAAGACATTTTAAAGACTTGCAGCAGCATCAAGTAAATGACTGGCATTTACAATACAGTAGAACCTCAGAGTTACGAACAGCTTGGGAATGGAGGTTGTTCGTAACTCTGAACAAAACTTTATGGTTGTTCTTTCAAAAGTTTATAACTGAACATTGCCTTAATACAGCTTTGAAAAACTTTACTATGAAGAAGAAAAATGCTGCTTTCCCTTACGTTTTTAGTAGTTTAACAAAGTACTGTACTTTTTTAGCCTTTTTTTTTTGGTCATGTCTCTACTGCTGCCTGATTGTGTACTTCCGATTCCAAATGAGCTTTGTGGTTGACTGGTCAGTTCGAAACTCTAGTGTTTTTAACTCTGAGGTTCTACTGTACTGAAATATTCCTGTTTTTTAGTGTGTTAACTTTATGGTATAATGTTAATCATCCACCTATACAGCTTAATCTTTTTCTTAGGTTATGGCCAGGCATTTCACTACTCTATTGATTGTTCTCACCATATAATGTTTCAGAAATGTTTCTTGTTCATATAGTGTTATTCAGTTAAAGTAGGACAGGCTACAAGCAAATGGTCTCACTCTTGTGAAGGTGGAAGATATACCTCCATAATTCATTACATATACATATGTGTATGCGATGATAGTCCTTCAGCTGGCACTCTGTAGGTTTGGAGGTATGGTGAAGCAGACTGCTACCCAGGATATCTTCCCTTGGAGAATTCCATTAGCCCTCTTTTCCTGCCCTTGTGGGACTTTATGGAATGTTTTCTGTAGTAATAACATCCTTATGGTGTGAGTTTTTATGTATGGAGATCTAACACACTTGCAGGGGCAGGATTTTTAGGAGCATCTAGGTTTGTAATGCATCCCTGATTACTTACAAACAGTTAATTGAACATGTGGCATTGGGCCCAGAACTCATTAGCTTCTCCTCCAAAAACAGAAGTCTGCTTCTTGTGCTACTACTACTACTACTACTAAGTGGTGTGTAGCATTAGGGCTTTTATTCTTTCTTTATCTGTGCAACTAGAGGGCAGCATAACCACAGACATTTGAGCAAGTCTAATTCCATCCAGCAGAAGGCAATTATTTTCTTCCAGTTTAAATGTGGATCTGAGTTTCTGTTCCACATACATTTGAGTGTATTGAAAGCTTCAGGTCTTAGCTGTCTGAGGTATTACTGTTGCCACCACTCCCAAGTACATGAGCAATCAGTGTCTATGGTACAAGCCAACATAAATTCTGCATTTCTTTATTTTAAAAGTTATTGCTTGTTTCCAAAAACATCCTGTATCTGTGGCTGTTGGTGAAAGGAGAAATCTCTAATAAGTACTATTTTTTTTCTATGTCTTTCCTAGAGATGCAAAGCACATGGCTAAAGATGTGAATGATACTTTAGTGGACATTTTAAGCACTGATGCTGGAGTTGACAAATTAGAAGCAATGAAAATCCTGGCTACATTAAGACAAGAAAAACGCTATCTCCAGGATGTCTGGGCCTAAATGTGTTGCCTCTGTGCCTTTGCAAAACAGAGACTGTTAGACAATTTTTACCGTATATACTGTATGAAGACTCTGCTGATTCTTTGGATTACTGTTATTTCAACGTCACTTAAGTAAATTCTCTTTTAAAAGCAGCCAATTGATAATTATTATTATTTTTTAAATTACTATTCTCTAGTCATTTAATTCTGGATAATTCCTACTGATCTTTTGAATGGCATTTAAAGCCTTTACAACAACAACAACAACAAAATGGAACCTATGAATCATCACTTTGTAGCAATATTACCAAGTAGATTCTCATGGAGCTCCATTCCTCCAATTTAATAACAGTACAACTAAATAAGTAACATTATGTGTACTGTATACGATAATATATATAATATTGTATACTATACAAATGCAGAAGTTTATTTTCAAAGTATACCGTTTATCATGTACATCTTATTGCCAAGATGTAGTTGAACGTATTATGTGAAAGCTTTTTGAGGGAATTTTTCTTCGTTGCCTTAGAACATATGACACAAGTTGCAAACAGGAATAAATATTTAAAATATTGTCAAGGATTTCTGAGCACAATAATTCCCTCCACCTCCAAGCTTTTCTATGAATATTGATATTTAAGTGATGCAGTGATGGGCTAACAATACTTTGCAGATACTCGTATAACACTGGCTGATATTGAGTAGGTTTTCCCAGCTAACTCATGCAAAGTATCTTTAATCCATGCCTTTAAACTCTGCTGGTTTAATTCTAGGCCTTTCCTGAAAAAATCTGCCATTTGTGCTAAATTTTGTTGGGTATAATTATTACAAGCTGAGATAGGAATACCAAATTATTATTTTTTTCCTGAAAACAGGTACCGTATATACTCATTCATAAGCCGAATATTTTTGGTAAAAAAGGGACATATCAAAGAGCGGGGGTCTGCTTATAAATGGGTCTACACCAAATGTTGATGATTTTAAACTCTATGGAAACATTGATTTGAATATCTAATACATTGTCATTTTGTTTACCTGGATCGTCTGCAGGCATGGAGCCCTTCGGCTCCCTATGGCCGTGGTTCACTGTTCCCACAAAATGCTATGCCTTACAAGCCAATGAGAAAAATACAATGAACGATAGTACTATCGCACTGGTGTCAGTCCGCTACTGTGTAATTTGATCTCTTCATGCATTTCTACCAATGGACCAAATAAGTCTCAAACCAATATGAAAATATAATGTGCAGAATCGATGGAATCTCTAATAAAATTGAAATAGCCTGTTATCCCCACAGACATGCCAATCTACAGGGGTGCTTTTAAATAAACAAAGAACAATAATAATTTAACAGTGATAAAGCAGGTGAGATTCCTATCTAAAGTCCTACAAAATCTATAACTACAATAATAATAATCTATTTTCATACTAGTATTTAAAATGAACAACGGTGAAATCAAAAGAAAAAGGTCTGCTTATCGCGCAGCGTTCAAACTTAAAGCTGTTGAATGTGCAGAAGCAAACAATAATTGCGCCGCTGCTCGTGAATTCTGTATCAATGAGAAGCAAGTAAGAGAATGGTGAAAAAATAAAACAACGCTAAAAGACATGCCAAGAAGCAAGAAAAAATGTCCAATAAGGTGTGCTTAATTTCCTGAGTTAGAGAAAGATCTCAATAATTGGGTCGTTGAATGTCAACAAAATGGGTACATTGGCACTAGAACTGGAATTCGTCTGCGTGCTCTACAAATGTTGAAATACGACAAATACAAGTCAGTAAAGCTGTTGATGTTTGTCACATCAGTGGGTTGATGTACTCGCTTCATGAACTGTCATGGTCTCTGTCTTCATCAGCGAACAAAGATAGCGCAAAAGTTGCCGAGAGATCTGGAAGAAAAAATGGAATCTTTCCAAAGGTTTATCATAAAATATTGAAGGAATATGCATTTGAACTGTCACAAATAGGAAAAAATATGGACGAAACATCAATGACATTCAATCTCCCAAGCAACAGAACGGTAACCGGTGTTTGTGAAAAAATGGTTTTAATTAAAACCACTGGCCATGAAAAAATCCATTTTATGGTGGTTTTACCGTGTTTGGCAAATGGATCAAAGCTCCCTCCTGTTGTTATTTTTAAAAGAAAAACCTTGCCTAAAAACATGAAATTTTCTGCTGGTGTCATCATACATGCACACGAAAAGGGATGGATGGATGAAAGTGGGTCTATTAAATGGCTGGAAAAAGTGTGGAATAAGAGACCAGGAGCACTTTTCAAGAAACCTGCTATGCTCGTTTGGGACATGTTCAGGTCACACAAGGCGGATGAGGTGAAAAATGTGGCCAAAAAATGAAAACTAGTTTGGCTGTAATACCTGGAGGCTTAACTTCAGTTCTACAACCACTTGATGTCTGCCTAAACAAACCCTTTAAAGACAGGCTACACAAAATGTGGTCTGAATGGATGTGCTCAGGCATGGCGAATTTGACAAAAGGTGGGAATCTTATGAAGCCCGAAATCAATCTGGTCGCCCAGTGGATCAAGGATGCGTGGGTGTCCATTCCCTCGGAAATGATAGAAAATTCATTTAGGAAATGCTGTATCAGCAATGCACTCGACAGGTCAGAAGATGATGCCATATTTGATGATGACACAACAGAGGCTGATGATGAGAAGGAATCTGAGTCTGAAGACGACACTGCCGACATCTACGATGACAGTGCAGGTGCAGCTGTGACTGAAGCCAAGTTTAATGAACTGTTTGGTGAATCAGAGACTGATTCAGACTTTGAAGGATTTTAAGACTTTTTAAAGTCTCATATTGTTCTAAGTTACTTATTTTAAATAGCAATTTTACTGATTTTAAATATTGACTGTAATTTTGAAGGTGAATACATATTTGTTCAGTTATTATTATAACAACAGGTTTTTCATTAGATTACATTAAAATAATTCTGGCAAAACTTTTGAGTGTTTCTTGTGATGCCAGATTTTAAAATATAGCAGGGGTCGGAAAACTTTGGCTCCTGGCCCATTAGGGTAAGCCGCTGGCGGGTCAGGACGTTTTGTTTACTTGGAGCATCTGCAGGCACGGAGCCCCTCAGCTCCCAGAGTTCTCAGTTTGCCGTTCCCAGCTGCGCCACTTCCCGCAGCTCCCATTGGCTGGGAATGGCAAACCGCAGACACTGGGAGCTGAGGGGCTCCCTGCCTGTGAACGCTCCAGGTAAACAAAACATCCAAGCCCGCTAGCTGCTTACCCTAGCGGGCCAGGAGCCAAAGTTTGCCAACCCCTGAAATATAGGGTCGGCTTATGAAAGGGTCATACAGTTTTTGCTATTTTTACCTAACCATCTTGGGGGGTCAGCTTATAAACGAACGGGGTAATGAACGAGTATATACGGTAATTTGAAACTCGTTTTACAGCCTTAAATCTTTTGCTTTCTCATACAGAAATCTGGATTACTACCACCAAAATAAAAATTTTCAAATTCAGGTAGAAAAATCCATTCTCTGCCTAACAGAGCTGTTCAAAGGACAAAAAGCTCTTTTCTTCCTCACTTCAACTGTCATTACTTTTAACTTTCTTCAACTCCCTTTGCTCCCTCTTCTCTTAACTAATGACTCCTAAATCCCCATTTCTTTTGGTTCCTTCCCATCTTTCTCCCCAAGCTTAGACCCTTAGAGGAAGAGACAAAGGAGAAGAAATATTTCTCAGTTGTGGCATCGCTCAGGTATTTTTGTTTGGGAAAATTCCATTTTTACTCTGTCCCATACATAAAGCAGCATTTTGTATTCTGATTCTTGTTTTATAATGTTTGTCATTATGAACTCAGTATAGGCAGAGGGAGCAGTTGGGGGAAAATGTGATAATCAGAATTAAATCCCAGTTTTTTAAAAAGAAACTGAAATTAACTCTAATTAAAATTAAATTTTATTAAAGCTTTGACATACTTGCAAAGTAGCAATTATTTAAAAAATCAATAGAAAAGCTCACTAAAATTTCACATACCAAGCGTTATAGAAAAAGGTTATAATGTTCCACAAAGAGGACATGATGGAGATAGTTTAATAGTTTTTATTACATATATATAACAAACAAACAAAAACTATTAAACTATCAATACAATGTAATTTGGGATTCAACATGTAAAATGAAACACACACACACAAGTAAAATAAAGAAAGAGACCTATAATTTATTATTGTTATGCTGGAATTACTAGGGTATCATGAATATCAGCATATTAGACTAGGCATTCACCTTCACATACTTGTCTTTATTTACCTGAGACAAAAAGGTTTTAGCATTATCATAATCAAAAAAAGGTGTATGGCTAATCATATTTTATCAATTAACGTTTGGTTGGAAACATCACTGAGATCTGAAAATCTAAAGAAGCACATTTAGTGGATAGGGTTAACTATTTTTTGTGACAATGATGAGTTGTCTTGGAAATACCAGGGAAAGTTTGAAACACTGATTTTAAGAAACTGCTAATTGCATTTCCTTTTTCAGACCACTTACCATTCATTTTATATCATATGATGATGCAGAAGTAATGATAACTGGTCTAGTAACACTACTAGTAGCTTTAATTAATAAGGTTTTTTTTATGGGCCACCTGGTCTCCTTCCAATGGGCCTGACTGTGGCTCCTGTGTTGCACTGCTCCAGCAATTTACAACAATTGGAAAGCTAGTGAATCCAGCCCTTTGAGGATTCTGTCAGTGTGTTAGAATCCTTGGGTAGCATAGAGCTACTAAAGCTACTGCTGCAGCTCCTGATAGCAGACAAGTGCCAGTATTTTTAAAATCACAGTTAAGGTGTATAACCATCTTCTACAAAAGAAAAAGAAGAAAACAAAACCAACAACCCTCTGACGGTGTTAATGTTGATTTTCTACTATGTTATATATGTTTGGTCTTTTGTGGGGGACACTGGTTGCAGGGGGAAAGGCATGCATGGGAGAACAAAACTGAAAATAATCAACAGGCAGAACACACATCAAATAGTACCAAAGTTCTAAAACAGAAGAAACACAAGGATTGTGAATGAAGTTTTTGCAAATTAATATATGGAATAAGATGTGTGTATAGGCTGCATTGTGTCACCATGGTTGAAATATGCAAAACATTGTGGCCAGGTCCTCAGCTGTTATAAATGTGAGAAGCTGGAGATGACTTCACTTTAGAATGGATACATATTTCACAACCTCTTTAGAATGTGTAAATGTAGTTATAACACTAACTCTCCTAGCTAATTGCTTCAATATTGCTGCCTTCTTTGGGGGTTTTTTGCTCTGTGTTCCACGTATCAGACATCCCTATGACCCACATCCAAGGCATCATTGCCTTCACAACAAACTGAAGAACCTCTGTTTTTTACACATTTTCCCTGCCTCCTGATACAAGTAACATACCTGAAAAGCTAATTTCTATTTTGTTCATGTGTGTGTTGGAGCATCGATGTTGGGTGAAAGCTAATTGCACAGTAATGCTGAAATGTATGAACCTAACTCAGGCCTTGTTCACACTGGCCATCTCATCTATGTTTAGTCAGCTTGAATTGATTGT